TCCTTCTGTGAATGACTTATTTCACTCAGCATAATGCCCTCCAAGTTCGTCCATATTATACGTTGTTTTGCAGACTCTACATTATTCTTTAGTGCTGCATAGCATTCCATTATGTGTATGTACCATAGTTTGGTCATCCACTCTTCCGCTATAAATCTTATAGATAAGTCCCTTGCCAGATATGTAATTATCAGCAAATATGAATTTGTTGCTGTCATTTTTATTATGTGCTTTTTTGTGGTGTCGATTTCTTTGTTCCATATAATTTTCTATGCTGAGCTCATTTTGTTTATGAATTGTGTTATCACTTCCTTCATTGGTATTGTTTTAGTATTTGCTGAATATTTATGCTGGTCCTCTTTTTTGATGTGAAGGTTTATCGTTTTTCTTTGAAGTTATCCTGTGATGTATAGTTTTCTTCCCAAGTTTAGAACAGTGCGTTCTATCTTGTAGTTGTCTTGACTTCCCTACCATCTACAAGATCTGTAACAACACAGTTACACAGTTTTTTTTCCCTCTTGTTGGTTTGTAGTTGTCCTTATTTGTCGGTTGGTGTCTCTGGTTCCCTGTTTACAATCTTGTAGGCTTATTTACTTTGGGTACTTCCATCGTTGGGTTGGTTTCTGGGTTATGTCATCATGTGTGTTAATGGTCAGTTGTTGTTAGCTGTTGTTGCTTCTCTGTCCAAAGGGCTCCCTTTAGCATCTCTTGTAGGGTTGGTCTGGTTTTAAAAAATTCCCTTAATTTCTGCTTATCTGGAAATGTCCTTATTTCACCATCATATTTGAGGGATCTGACGACGATCTTAATTTTCATTTTGTATAAAAACCTTTTGTTTTCTTTAAAATCCAATACTTTTACTAGACTTTATCTTGATGTTATTGTTCATTCTGGGTTCATTTTTTTTTTTTTTTAAGATGATGTGCCTTTTCAGTATATAGTTCAAATCTTTTGGATTGTTTTTCATTAAAAATTCCTTGACTTACAGATTCGATTCTGTTCCTTGCTTTCTCTCCTTGCCTTGTATGTTTGTCACCTCCTCTTGAATCATTTTCATCCACCATCATTCCCTGTTGATTAAAAAACACCCTCCTTTTTATCCTCTGTTTCTCTTAAAGTGTTATCTGTTATGTTTATTTACACTTGTGTCCTTCTAGCTTCGGCTTCATTTTGGAAATGATTCTTTTCTTGTATTTCTAATTCTTTTCTAAGTTTTATAAGCTTATTTCTGAGTTGTTCTCATTCTGATTTATGAAATTCTTTGATAGCATGTAAATGTTTGTAACATCTTAAAATTATTCTAACTAAATTTGAAGATTATGGTGTTGATCTGTTGTTTTTGTGGACTTAACTTTCTGGGATGTTTTCATTTTGTAAACGCATTATCCTGTTGCTCATTTTTACATAAAAGTAGTCTCCCTGAACTTTTAGAAGGAGACTTGATTTAGGATAGTTTTCTCCCCTGACTTCATGACCATACATCTCTGTCTTCTATTGGCTTTGAGAATTGTTCAAAAGTGTGGGAAATTACTTTCCACAATCTCCTGGCCCTGGACCTCACCTCTCCTTGGATCTGGCCTTTCTTTTGTGTCTCCCTTCTCCCTGGCCTGCTCTGTTCCCACTGGTTTCTCCCCAGAGTGGGGCTTTTATCTGGATTAGTTTTGAGTTCATTGGAGTGGGGGGCGATCCAGACTGTATCATGGACCCCTTGCACTCAGTCACTATTGGAAGGCTCAAGCCCCTCCCAGTTTCCATTGTTGTTCAGAAATTAGCTTGCTGAGGTTTGAATGAGCTGTTTGAGAGTTCTCAGGTCTATCAGATGCCCTGTTGATACATGTTTTTCCACAGCATGTTGATCTTGTAACTATCAATGGTTTGTCAAAATACCCACGGATATTTTGGGGCTCACAGGGAAATTCTTTTCATCTGGCTTTGATATATTTTATCTGTAGGTTTTGTTTTTGCTTTTGCTTTCATACTTACTCTGCTTGCCTTTCTTATGTTTTGTTCGGGTGGCATTTGGGGAGATTCAGAAACTTTGCTGCCACCGCACACCTTCCTTCCTTCCAGAATTTCTCTCTGTAATAGGGAATCAGCAAACTGTAACCTGGGGACCAAATCCTACCCGCTGCTTATTTTTGTACAGCCTGTGAGCTAAGGATGTTTTTTTACATTTTTAGATAGATGAAAAAAATCAAAAGAATAATACCATTTCATGGCCCATGAAAGTTATATAGAAATCAAATTTTGGTGTCCATAAAGTTTTATTGGAACATAGCCCCACTCAATCACTTATGTATTTTCTATGGCTACTTTCCTGCTACAACAGCAGAGTTGTGTTGTTGGGAAAGAGACCATATGCTCCTTAGAGTTGAAAATATTTATTATCTGGCCATTTATAGAAAAAATTTGCTGACCCTTATCCTATAATATAGGAGCCTTGGTGGGACAGCGGTTAAGGGTTCAGCTGCTAATCAAAAGGTTGGAAGTTCAAACCCACCAGCGACTCAGTGGGAGAGAAGACCTGGCGATCTGTTCCTGTAAAGATTGCAGCCTAGAAAACCCTATGGGACAGTTTTACTTGTCACATGGGGTGGCTCTGAGTCCAAAGTGGGCTTAATAGCACTGAACAACAACAGCAATCCTATAATATACTTTTTTAATGGCTAAATAACATTCTGTTGTGTGAGTGTATCACAATGTACTTAACTAAGCCCTATTGAGCATCTATGTGATTTCTAAATTTCATTATTATAGGCATCATTTCACAGCTAAGTACTCGGGTACATATTTAATTAATTACCTCCTTGGCATATGAGGGAGCTCTGGTCCAGCCACTCCTTGGAAGGAAGGTTGGGCAATCTACGTGGAAGGTTGGGCAATCGACTTCCATAGAATCGACTTCCATAGAGATACTGCCTCGCAAACCCAAGGAGGAGTCGCTATGAGTAGGATCCGACTTGATGGCAGTGAGTTTGGTTTTTGGTTTTGGTTTGGCATACGATATTTCAACTAAGGTTGCCAGATAAAAGGGAGGTGTGTACATTTTAAACTCTGATTGATATTGACAAATTCTCCTCAGAAAGACTGTAAGTTAAATATCCATTAAGGATACTGGTAAGGAGCCTGCGTGGCGCAAGTTGTGTGTAGTTTGAATCCACTTGGGGGTTCTGCAGAAAAGGCCTGAGAGTTTGCTGCCATAAAGATTATAGCCACGCAAACCCCATGGGACGGTTCTGTTTTGTAACATGGGGTCACCGTGAGTCTGAGGCCATCTTAATGGCAACTAAAAACAGTAACAACTAAAGGATATGGGTGAAATAAAGTATGGTACATTCATGAGATAGAATATGCAGAGGTTAAAGAGATTGAGGTCTATTTTTGTTGATACATAAAAATATGTATCATGCTGTTAAATTGAAACCCCAAGTTACATATGCAGAGTATAATTCCTCTGTATTAAGGAAATAATGGGATTACAATATATATAACCTTAAAAATAATAGGATTACAATATATATAACCTTAAATTTTTCATCAGCATAGATTACAGTCAGGTTATACCAGTTTACATACCTACCAGTATGTAGCAATGATCATTTTGCCACACTTTTGCCAAAATAGTGTTAGCTATTTTTTCCAATTCTTATCAATTTGATAGATAAGAAAATGGTGTCGTATTTTGATTTTACATTATCGGGTTTTCTATTTTTTCATATGTTTATTGGCTGGAATTAATTTCTTTGTGAAATTCTTGTTCATTGTCCATTTTTCCTCTGCCATATTAATCTTTTTCTTGTAAGAGCTCTTTATATATATTGACATTTAGTTTATTAATGTTTGCCTTTGTGTTGTATTAGGGTAATTAATGATGGACAAAACTCTTCTTTATGCAGTCATATCTTCCTTTATTTTAAGCCTTTCCTTACCTCAGATTTATATAATTATTCCCCTATATATTTTTCTGGTATTTATTTAAAATAAATTTTACAGTTAGCTCTTTAATCCTTCAAGAATTTATTTGTGTGGGTTGTGTGATAGAGTTTACTTTCAGTTTTCAAATGCATAGCCCATTGTTTCAGTGCTATTTATGGAAGAAACAAGCTATTATTTCAAGGTTATATCATTTTTTCATATTGCTTTATATTAGAAATATGTGCATTTCATATTTTAAAAAATCAGGAGTTTTGAGCTGTAATTCACATACAATAAAATTCACCCTTTTAAAGTATACAGTTTGAAGAGTTTTGGTAAATGTATGCAATTGTGTAACCAACCACCCCAGTTAAATTTGAGTGTTAAGAAAATAATGGTGAAAACAGTTGATGTAAGGAAAGCATGCCCCCCGTTTTTTGCTTCTTCAGAAGATTTTGTTTCCAATTTTGGAAAGGATCCAAATTTGTTTATCTCTTGAGACAGCTTTTTTTTTTTTTCCTATTTAATGTTAGTTCCTGGTTGTTTTGTTTCATTAACTGTTCAAACAGATGAAAATTCTTAGGGTAAAAAGGCAGGGCAGGGTTCTGTACACGCAGTCCTGAAAATAAGCACTGGTTGTGAGAAGAGTAGGGAACAGTTACTGTTCAGAGAAGTCATTGTGTATGTGTTTTCTTTGTTGTAGCACTGGAAGAAGTATGACATCTGTGAAAAGCAAACCAAAGAAGAAACTGACGCTGTGGTGCTGATAGAAAACCTGAAGAAAGGCCCTCAGTAATGGGAATAATTTATTTTTACCTTCAATGTGACCTTGTGAAGATTCATCCCATTTTCCATTTGTTATCTGGGAACTTCCTAAATGGAAACGGAAACTACTGGACCATTTCAAAACAGGCAGCTCATAAGAGCCATGGGTCTTCATAGTGAACCGTGCACCAAAACAACTCAAAAGTAATGGGCCCTTTGAAGAAGAAAATGGACTCATACTCATTGAATTATAAAAGCAAACATCCTTTGCAAAAGCTTCAGAACAGGGGGAAAAGCAAAAAGTGATAATTGCAGTAGAGTTACTATCAAGAGTTGTGACAACTTCCGGAGAAATCTATACATGCTTTGGTTTCTTTGTATCAAATAGCACCCACAGGTTTTATTTGTTTGGGGGAATTCATTTTGGATGGCAAATGCTCATGCCAGACCTGAGTGACAGAGAACATGTAGCACAGAAAATTGATTAAATCTATTATCTGTTACTTGGGATCCCACTGAGTAATGTTTGTCGCCATTAGACTGCTTGACAGTCCAGAGTTATCAGCCCCTTCAGTGGCATTTTCTCCTGCTTCCAGAGCCCCAGAAAGTAGTGTTGGCCACAATACTGAGAGCTACAGAAAGAACAGAGGCAACCTCTTCAAGGCCTTTCAAAGCCACGGCAGACTTCCAAGAGCAGTGGAAGCAGAATGACCTGTTGGGTACTGGCCTTGAACCATGCAGTCTCTAATGATACCGCCTTTTTCTTCACCTGAGCTACTCAAATCAAGTATTTACCATGTCACTGGCTTGTGCCAGAGCCCCAAATTTGAAGCACAAACCCCCTTAAAATCTAGTTGGGACTCCTCAGTGCTTACTCCTTAACTCCACTAATCATTTTCAGACCTTCCAGCTCCCCCATCAGTTCCCCTTTTTGCATTCTTCCTCATTCCCCCTCATTCTAGCCTACCCTTACCTTTCATTGGAAATTCCTATCCAGTATGCTCAGAACACCTGAAGGGGTGAGGAAACGTGTATCTTAGGTCAAGTGTGAATAGACTGACTAACTCTTGCGTACACTATAATTTCTGTGAGTCTTCATTTGTTCCAGGGTTTACAGCATTTAATGTTTCTTTCCCTGTTTTCTAAACAGAAATGAGGTGTTCTCTTCACTTAGAACTTTGCTATTTGCTTGAGAAACAAAGAATAGTGGTATCTTTTTCTCTTCCTTTACAAGATGGGCCCTAGGACTCCTCTTTTCCCTTACTGCCACAAATGGTTATTAGCGGGTTTCCTGTCTTGTGTTGGTAGGCAGCCATCTTAGACACTAACATTTACACTCATTTTTTCCATGTGTTAGGGTTCCGTGCTCACACATGCCCACAAAGTATCCATATATATATTTCCTCTACTCCTCTTGATTCCTCCAAATTTAAAGAAGCATGAGAAGTGAGAAGGAGCTCTGGTGGCACAGTGGTTAAAGCATTCACTAACCAAAAGGTCCTCAATTTGAACTTACCAGCTGCTCTGCAGAGGAGAAAGATGAAGCAGTCTGCTTCCATCAAGATTTACAACCTTGGAAACCCTATGGGGCAGTTCTAATTGGTCCTATTAGGTCGCTATGAGTCAGAATCAATTCAATGGCCGTGGGTTTGGGAAGTGAGAGGCTTACCCACCCACCCAGTGTTTCTCTCCTCACACACACAGACTCAGATTACTGGTAGGAATTTGAGCACTTCATATCACAAGTTCTTGAAATGGTTACCCATTCGTATTAATAAGATGATGCTACTTGCAATTCCCACCCTTTGGGGAGGGGAGATCAGAGATCCCTGCACCCACAGGTTTGGGCAGCAATGGCCACATGCTTCTACTGCAGTGGAGGAGCACGGTGCCCTGACTTTTCTGAAGAAATTGAGGTTCGTGGCAATGGTAGATGTAAAGTTATTTCCTTCCTGTGCCTTTCTTTTCAAAGTCAGATTGAGGCTGGGAGAAAGATACAGTGGATGTGCCACTTCGTTCTTTTGTTGTCTCGAAGGAATAATTGGTTTTCCTCTGTAGAAATGAGAATCTTTCCTAGCCAGGTTTTTATTATTATTATTCTAGGAGCCAAAACACCTAAATGCCTCACCCAAACCCATTTTACTGTTATCTTCTTTAGGTGGCCATTGAGGGGTGAGGATGCTTTGACATTCTGATTACCCAGGAGATCTGACAGGCATAAAGCCTGAGAATGTGGACATTGTATTTTGGTTCCATCCTCTTAAAGCAATGAAATAGCCGAGGAAAGGGCGGGAGGGTGAATTAGGGAAGTACCTATGGCTATTGTATAATTGCTGAAAAGTGATCCCCAAGTCTTGGGAAGTTTTGGAGCCTTCAACACATCCATGGGATTCCCATCACCAGGAGGAAGCTAGTAGGTTCATTTACTATTTTATGTCTAAACTATATGGATTTTTTTTCCCACATACCTAAGTAAAACCACTGTAAAGGTTGTTACTCTTTCATTCTGATAAGTGTTTGTTCATCTGGGCACTGAAGGGATACATGAAACAATGTTGAGAACATTTTTGGTAATGTCTTCAACTAGGGATCATTTTGTTTAACTTCTTATATGAAACCTTGAGTAAAATAAATATGAAATGTCTTTTTGTATGTCACTCAGTTGTTTTTCTTTGGTCTTATTTTGGGGAAAGTTGTGTTTTGAGGAGTGGGAGGCAGAGAAAATTGGAGTTAAAAGAATAAACCAAAGAAAATTCCAAGGTAGCTATTTTATCTTAAAATCATTTATGATCAAGTTCTCTGCTATTCTGGGTTTGTGTTTCTGATAAGAGCGTGCACTTAGTTTAATAGTAGTACAGCCTTTGCAGTCGGCACCTAAAGAGACATGAAAACCAAACAACCAAACACTGTCATCAAGTGGATTCCAACTCATACCAACCCCCACAGGGTTTCCAAGGCTATAAATCTTTACGGAAGCACACTCCCCCATGTTTCTTCCATGGAGTGGCTTGTGGGTTTGATCCACCCACCTTTTGGTTAGCAGCCAAATGCCTTAACCACTACACCACCGGAGGTCCTTCAAAAGGCATAATGATAAATTGTGGTTATAATAATTAAGAGAATATTAATAATAAGGGAAATGGGGAACAGGTTCTTTCTAATTTTAAGTTTCAAATAGACTACAGTGTGCTTAAGGAGACAGGAAAAGTACATGATGGGGGCCCTCTGATTACAAAATAATAATACTAGATTAATTTTGATACTAAGAAATCAGCTTTCAACAGCTGCCCTTTATAGAATTGATTATGTACTCATATTTTCTATAAATACAGCAAAATGGTTTGAATGTCACAGAGGGTTTCTTTCTCATTTATGTTACGTGTGTGTGTGTTGGTTCTCTAGTGCAGCTGTAACAGAAATAGTGTAAGTGGATGGCTTAACAAACGGGTTTAGTCTTTTACAATTTAGGAGGCCAGAAGTCCAAATTCAGAGTGCCAGCTTTCGGGGCTGGATAAAGGCCCCTCAACCTAGGGCTTCAGCTCTTTCTCTTATTCCAGGCCCCCTGGAGCTGGAGGCTTTTTCTGACTCACATAGCTGCTGGCTGCTGAGGCTCACGAACCCAAGATTGACAGGTAAAATGACACACTCCCAAAATGGGCAGGTAACACGACAGACCATGACTCAGCCACATTCAGGGTCCAGATGTGCCAAAAGCTAGAGACATTTCTCAAAGATTTTTATATACTGGAAGCAGGTCGTACCCCAAAGGCAACTACTTAGTTGCTCACAGCAGATTCTACCATGGGGATGATTACAATCTCATCATGAGGAATAACGGCATCCAGCTGCCCAACCTCTCAAAACCATGGCCCAGCCATGTTGACACACAACCTTAACTACCACAGTGTGTCTTTAGCCAGACCACGTTTGTTAACTGCCCTGAATCTTTACAGGGTCTAAACCCTAGGGTGAGGCTGATTTTGACCAGGTTATTTCTGTAACTATCTACAAGCATCTAGGAAGATTCTGGAAATCCGTCTTCAAGTATATATGGTGGGTTGTTTTTTTTTTTTCCATTTTTAGAAGAAGCCTCCTGATTCTTAACACATCGACTCTTGAGTATTATGACAGAAAACATTAACTGAGTACTCTTGAGATTGTATACCTGTATGAGATCTATGGAAAACAAATTCCTCCTCTAGTCACAAACATGTTTACCTCATCCCACAAGGAGAGGAATCAGAATGAACACATTTGTTTTCCAGAGTCATTGACCATTTTGTTGTTTTCCTTGAACTACTTTTATAAATTCAACTTTATACTAATATTAATAGAATATTATACTATTAGAATATCAGTAGTTTTAGAAGAAAGCAAGGGAACAAGAACATTTATTTCAGAGACTGTTTTAAACACTAATGATCAGGTCAAGCAATCCAATCTCTTGCAAATATTATAGCTAAATCTTGGTATGTTTTACTTTAAGCAAGGGAGGAATTTTACTGACATTTGGATATGCTACATGTTTTTGACATCAGTCCTCAAGATGATTTATTCCTGGCTTTTGACTGTCTTTCCCAATGGTCACAGTTTCAGTTTACCATTAGCAACAGGAAAATATTTTGGTTTTCAACATGTCTTAGGTAGACTAGTATATGAAAAGAAAAAATTAGTACTTACTGAGTAGCTAGTATGTATCAAGTTACATGTGTAATTTCACTGAATTTTGCCATTAACCCTACGAGCTAGGTCACATTATTATTATTGCAGATGAAGAGAGTGAGACATAAAGTGACTGAGTTGTGTCTTAAGATCACACAGCTAGTAAGAGACTGAGACAGAATTTGAAACAGGTCAATCTGACTTTAAAGCCTGTATAATATACCCCTTGATGTATTTAAGGTTGGTGGATCAAATCCACCAGCCACTCCACTGGAGAAAGCTGAGACAGTCTGCTTCTATAAAGATTTACAGCCTTGGAAACTCTATAGGGCAGTTTTATTCTGTCCTATAGGGGTCCCTATGAGTCGG